AGCTGCACTCGGCTTCGGTCCTGGGGGCGGGGTGAGCCCCCAAAACCCACCCCTGAACCCCCTGTGCCCCAAAAACCCACCCTGAACCCCCCCTGTGCCCCAAACCCCTCCTGAGGAACCCCAACCTCACCTGGAGCTGCACTCGGCTTCGGTCCTGGGGGGCGGGGTGAGCCCCCAAAATCCACCCCTGAACCCCCCCTGTACCCCAAAACCCACCCCCTGTACCCCAAAACCCACCCCCTGAACCCTCTGTGCCCCAAAATCCACCCCTGTGACCCAAAACCCACCCCCTGTACCCCAAACCCCTCCTGAGGAACCCCATTTTCACCTGGAGCTCCACTCGGCTTCAGTGCTGGGGCGGTGAGCCCCCAAATCCACCCCTGAACCCCCTCCGTGCCCCAAACCCCACCCCTGAACCCCCCTGTGCCCCAAAATCCACCCCTGAGACCCCCTGGCTCAAAACCCACCCCCTGAACCTCCCCTGTGCCCCAAACCCCACCCCTGAACCCCCTGTGCCCCAAAAATCCACCCCTGAGACCCCCTGTGGCTCAAACCCACCCCTGAACCCCCCTGTGCCCCAAACCCACCCTGAACCCCCCTGCCCCAAAATCCACCCCCTCTACCCCAAATCCCTCACTGACCCCCCCTGTACCCCCAAACTCCCCACTGACCCCCTCCTGTACCCCAAATCCCCCACTGACCCCCTCTCTCCACAGGGCCCGTGTCCCCCCTGTGTCCCGGTGAGTCTTGGGGGGGAACCTGGGTGGGTTTGGGAACCCCCAGGTGGGTTTGGGGACCCCCAGGTGAGTTTTGGGGTCCCCCAGGTTGGTTTAGGGGTCTGCCAGGTTAGTTTGGGGGTCCCCAGGTGGGTTTGGGGGTCCCCAGGTGATTTTGGGGCCCCCTGACCCCTTTTCCCCCCAGGACATGCCCCAGGCCATCCCCTCGTACCCCGACTGTAACCTGCCGGTAAGTGGGGAGGGGGTCCCCAAACTGAGGCCCCCCACCGCGGGGGTCCCCAGGAGGTCCCTGGGGTGTCCCCCTCATTAACCCCCCTGTGCCCCCACAGGTGATGGGGCAGCCCCCACCTTCCACCCGGTGAGTGGGGCATTTGGGGGCCTGGGGAGTTTTTGGGGTACAGAGGGGATTTGGGGGATTTTGGGGCCTGGGGGTGTTCAGGGGGTCACAGAGGGGGTTTTGGGGGCCAGAGGGATTTGGGGTTCTGTGAGGCACAAAAGGATTTTGGGGGTTTTGAGGTCCTGGGGGTTCGGGGCGCAACGGGGATTTAGGGGGCTAGGGTGGGATTTGGGGTCCTGGGGACACGGGGAGATTTTGGGGGGCCTGGAGGGGACCTGGGGGCTTTGGGAGGGTCTGGGTTGGGGGCTCTGGTGGGGTCACAGGAGGGCTTGGGGTGGGCTCAGGGTGGGATTTGGGGTCCTGGAGGACACGGGGGATTTTGGGGGCCTAGAGGGTACCTGGGGGCTTTGGGGAGGGTCTGGGTTGGGGGCTCTGGTGGGGTCACAGGAGGGGGTTTGGGGGCTCAGGGTGAGATTTGGGGTCCTGGGGTCTCAGGGCCTGGGGTCGTTGGGATTTTGGGGTGCTGGGCAGGGCTTGGGGTTTCCCACCTCCGAACCCCCCTTTTTTGCTGTTCCCCCCAGACCGTCCCCTTCGTCGCCACCATCCCGGGGGGGCTCGTGCCCAAGAAAACCATCGTGGTCAAGGGTTTCATCCCCTGGATGCCAACAGGTACTGGGGACCCCCAAAAAGACCCTCCGGGTTCCACATTAACCTGAGGGTGGGGCTGTGGGGGGCACGTTCTGCTGCACGTGACCCCCTCCCCAAAACCCCCTGTCCCTGACCCCCAAATCCCTGTGACTCCCCAGCCCTGTGACTCCCCCTGCTCCTCTGACCCACCCCAACCCCTGTGACCCCCCAAACCCCTCTGTCCCTGACCCCCTAAATCCCTGTGACTCTGCCCCCAACCCCTGTGACCCCCCAAACCCCCTGTCCCTGACCCTTCCCAACCCCTGGGACCCCCAAATCCCCTCTGTCCCTGACTCCCCCAAATCCCTGTGACCCCCCCAAACCCCCTGTCCCTGCCCCTCTGATCCCCCTCAACCCCTGTGACACCCCCAACCCCTGTGACCCCCAAATCCCTGGGACCTCCCAAACTCCTGTGACCCCTCCAAATCACCCTGCCTCCCCCAACCCCTGTGACCCCCAAACCCACCTGTCCTACCCCCAACCCCTATGACCCCCAAACCCACCTGTCCCCCCCAACCCCTGTGACACCCCTGCTCCCCCAAATCCCTGGGACCCCTCCAAACCCCCCAAATCCCTGTGACCCCCAAATCCCCCTTTCCCCCCATCCCTGTGACCCCCAAACCCACCTGCCCCCCAACCCCCTGTGACCCCCAAAACCCCCCAAAACCCCTGTGACCCCCCAAATCCCCCTGTCCCTGCCCCCTGATCCCCCCCAAATCCCTGTGACACCCCCAACCCCTGTGACCCCCCAAACCCCTGCCTGATCCCCCAAATCCCTGTGACCCTCCAAACCCCCTGCCCCCCAATCCCTGTGACCCCCAAATCCCTGTGACCCCCCAACCCCTGAGACCCCCAAACCCCTGTGCCTGCCCCCCCAACCCCTGTGACCCCCCCAAGCCCCCTAAACCCCTGTGACCCCCCAAATCCCCTCTTTCCCCCATCCCTGTGACTCCCCCAAATCCCTGTGACCCCCCAAACTCCTGCCTGCACCCCTGACCCCAAATCCCCTTCCCTGCCCTTGACCCCCAACCCCTGTGACCCCCAAATCCCCTTTCCCCCATCCCTGTGACCCCCAAACCCACCTGCCCCCCAACCCCTGTGACCCCCCAAACCCACCTGCCCCCCCAACCCCTGGGACCCCCAAGCCCCCCAAATCCCTGGGACCCCCAAACTCCCCTAAACCCCTGTGACTCCCTCAAATCCTCCTTTCCCCCATCCCTGTGACTCCCAAACCCTGCTGACCACCCCCAACCCCTGTGACCCCCAAGCCCCCAAACCCTAGGACCCCCCAAATCCCCCTGTCCCTGCCCCTCTGATACCCCCCAAATCCCTGTGACACCCCCAACCCCTGTGACCCCCCCCAAATCCTGTGACCCCCAGATCCCAGTGACCCCTCCAAACCCCCCTGCCCCACAACCCTGTGACTTCTCAAACCCCTCCTGCCCCTCAACTCCTGTGACCCCCAAGCCCTCTGTCCCCTGTGACTCTCAACCCCGTGACCCCCAGCTTCCCCCAAATCCCTGTGACTCCCCAAAGCCCCTGTCCCTGCCCCCAACCCTCTGTGATCCCCCTAAACTCCCCCAAATCCTGGGACTCCCCAAGCCCCCTTTCCCCTCCATCCCTGTGACCCCCCAAAATCCCTGCACCTCCAAATCCCCTTTCCCCCATCCTGTGACCCCCTCAAACCCTGCTGACCACCCCCAATCCCTGTGACTCCCCCAACCCTGCTGACCACCCCCAACCCTGTGACCTCCCAAACTCCCCCAAACCCCTGGGACCCTCTCATCTACCCCTTTCCCCTCATCCCTGTGACTCCCCAAACCCTGCTGACCACCCCCAACCCCTGTGACCCCCAAACTCCCCTAAACCCCTGCGACCCCCAAAACCCTCTGACCACCCTTTGTGCCCCCTCTCCCCAGGTTCCACATCAACCTGCGGGCAGGGCCGGGGGACATCCTGCTGCACCTGAACCCCTGCATGGACGCCGGGGTGGTGGTCCGGAACAGCCTCCTGGGGGGCTCCTGGGCGAGGAGGAGAGGGCAGTGCCCCACAGCCCCTTCCAGCGCGGCCGCTACTTCGATGTGAGATGGGGGACACTTTTGGGGGCTGGGGGACACAGGGGGCTTAGGGATGCAGAGGGGAGATTTGGGGTCCTGGGAGGGGGACAGGGGTCCTCCCCAAACCCCTTCCAGCGGCCGCTACTGATGTGAGATGGAGGGTCACAGGGACAATTTTGGGGGTTTGGGGATGCAGAGGGGAGATTTGGGGTCCTGGGAGGGGGATAGGGGTCCCTCCCAACCCCTTCCAGTGCGGCTGCTACTGATGTGAGATGGGGAGGGCCACAGGGGGGACACTTTTGGGGGCTGAGGGGACACAGAGGGGAGATTTGGTGTCCTGGGATGGGGGACAGGAGGGTCCCCACAACCCCTTCCAGCGGGCCGCTACTGATGTGAGATGGGGGATCACAGGGGACACTTCTGGGGGCTTGGGGGATGTAGAGGGGAGATTTGGGGTCCTGGGAGGGGGATAGAGGTCCCCCAACCCCTTCCAGCGGCCGCTACTTGATGTGAGATGGGGGACAGGGGGACACTTTTGGGGAATGGGGGACAGAGGACACTTTTAGGGGCTGGGGAGGACACAGAGGGGAGATTTGGGGTCCTGGGAGGGGGATAGGGTCCCCACAACCCCTTCCAGCGCGGCCGCTACTGATGTGAGATGGGGGCACAGGGGGACACTTTTGGGGGTTTGAGGGATGCAGAGGGGAGATTTGGGGTCCTGGGAGGGGGATAGAGGGTCCCCCCAACCCCTTCCAGCGCAGCCGCTACTGATGTGAGATGGGGGACAGCATTTTGGGGCTGAGGGGACACAGGGGGCTTGAGGATGCAGAGGGAGATTTGGGGTCCTGGGAGGGGATGAGGGTCCCCCCAACCCCTTCCAGCGGCCGCTACTCGATGTGAGATGGGAGGGGACAGGGGGACACTTTTGGGGGCTGGGGGACACAAGGGGCTTGAGGGATGCAGAGGGGAGATTTGGGGTCCTGGGAGGGGGATAGGGGTCCCTCCCAATCCCTTCCAGCGGCCACTACTCGATGTGAGATGGGGGCGACAGGGACATTTTTGGGGGCTGGGGGACACAGGGGAGATTTGGGGTCCTGGGAGGGGGATTAGGGGTCCCCACAACCCCTTCCAGCGGCCGCTACTTCAATGTGAGATGAGGGGCACAGGGACAATTTTGGGGGCTTGGGGGATGCAGAGGGGAGATTTGGGGTCCTGGGATGGGGAACAGGGGTCCCCCAACCCCTTCCAGCGTGGCTGCTACTCGATGTGAGATGGGGGTCATAGGGGACAGTTTTGGGGGCTGGGGGACGCAGAGGGGAGATTTGGGGTCCTGGGAGGGGATATAGGGTCCCCTCAACCCCTTCCAGCGTGGCTGCTACTGATGTGAGATGGGGGCACAGGGGCGACACTTTGGGGGCTGGGGGACACAGAGGGGAGATTTGGGGTCCTGGGAGGGGGATAGGGTCCCCTCAACCCCCTTCCAGCGTGGCCGCTACTTGATGTGAGATGGGGATCACAGGGGGACACTCTGGGGGCTTGGGGGATGCAGAGGGGAGATTTGGGTCCTGGGAGGGGGATGAGGTCCCCCCAACCCCTTCCAGCGGCCGCTACTGATGTGAGATGGGAGGGCACAGGGGGACACTTTTGGGGGCTGGGGGACACAGGGGGTTTGAGGATGCAGAGGGGAGATTTGGGGTCCTGGGAGGGGGATAGGGTCCCCCCAAACTCCTTCCAGCGGCCGCTACTCGATGTGAGATGGGGGACAGGGACATTTTTGGGGGCTGGGGGACACAGGGGGGCTTGGGGGATGCAGAGGGGAGATTTGGGGTCCTGGGAGGGGGATAGGGGTCCCCCCAACCCCTTCCAGCGGCCGCTACTGATGTGAGATGGGGGTCACAGGGACATTTTTGGGGGTTTGGGGGATGCAGAGGGGAGATTTGGGGTCCTGGGAGGAGGATTAGGGTCCCTCCAACCCCTTCCAGCGGCCACTACTCGATGTGAGATGGGGGCACAGGGACAATTTTGGGGGCTGGGGGACACAGGAGGGGCTTGAGGATGCAGAGGAGATTTGGGGTCCTGGGTTGGGGGCACAGGGGGACACTTTTGGGGGCTGGGGGATACAGGAGGGGCTTGAGGGATGCAGAGAGGGGAGATTTGGGGTCCTGGGAGGGG